TACTGAGATTTGAGATCCACTTTCTAGGCATGTAGAACATGGATCTTTTTTTTATTGTTACTTTGAGTTTCTATTACTTGTAGTCAGACAAATCTTGAAAACTAGACCTTTACAGAAGCACTAAAGCATACTAAAATGCTGGTTGTAAAAGGCCTCATTTATTAAGGTAAATGAGTCCCTTGACTCCTCTGCCTCTCCTGGGAGCTCTTAGAGCTGGGGACTCCAAGATCGCAAGATCTGATCCAGAAAAATAAGGCGAATGGATGCTGTAGACAGAGGGGCAAGATGAAGAAGCAGTGTTATCATCTAATATCATGTGAGAACTTGTTTATATATAAGCTCACCAAATCCTTGAAATAATAAAAAAAGTTCATTTCATTGAAGGTCATCATCTGAAGGGTGGGAGAATTTGCTGAAGGATGGGAGAATCTCATATTTAACAAATGACTAGAACTCTATTCGTGGAAAAAGTTCAAATATTTTTCCCCGTGTCAGGTAAACAAATATAAGAATGTGGTATGTTTGCTCTATTTGCATAAAATAATTCTCTGCCGTATCCATACATTTCACATGCCACTGATTAAATCTTGAATATTCATGTATGCATTGAAAGGCCTCTGTTGCTATGGTGGAACCTAATATCATAAAATGTGTTCCAGCTTTCCTTTAGGGAGAATAGCTAAAAATGAAATCAAAGCTGTTGTTTATCAATAAGAACAGTCAAGAGGGAGGGGGAGAGGAAAGATTGTCCTGAAAATGGTAGGCGAGGCAAGAGTAGATTCCCAATGATATATTAATGTTTCCTGGGGCTAGGGTCTGGAGAGACTAATTTTCAAGCAGTAATGAGCATTTTTAGACAGCAAGCACCCACTAAATGTGCACATCCCACTGTTTATTCATTTAATGAGACAACAGAATTCTGGAATAACAGAATTGTGGGCAATGGAGCAAGATTGCCCACGGAGGAATGCAGAATCATAATGAACAGCCATCTGGAAATGTTGACGGGCTCTGCCCGAGGTGTTTAGAAGAGTGGGAAGTAACTTTCCACCTGATCAGCAGCAAAGGACATACTGGCCCTTTGAAGTAGATTCACAGAAATTAAGAATACCAATGACGTGAGTTTCTCAACCTTGGCATAACTGACAATTTGGGGATGGATACTTTTTTATTGTTTGGGGGTTGAAAAATCTTGGGCCTTGCCCTAGACCTACTGAAAATGGGGCCATCCCTCCATGTGATTCTGAGACTGGCCAAAGTTTGAGAATAAGTTATCTAACTTAACTCATTTTGCAGTGAAAGAAAACAAGCATTGGTTTAGTTCCTACCCAACATCAATAGCTAGAAGCAGCCAAAGTCACACTGGAACTCCTTGTTTAGCTTGCCAAGACAGGCCTTGCAGGACAAGGTGGACATCCTCTAAGGTATTTCCACCCAGCACCCACCTCAGTAATGACACATGAAATATCCAGTTGCACAGCAGATAAAAGGTCCAAGACTGAATGTGTTTCTCAAATACGGTCTCTCTCTTAGATTACCATGTTGCCTAGCCATTCATCAAGAATACTCCATTTTTTATTGACATTATTTTTCTAATCCTAGGCTAGTCTCCCAGCCAGATTTTGCCAGGAAACTGCAGAGGTAACAGTTTTTTTTTTTTCTTTCCCCTTTTAGTGTTATTGTGCACTTTCTGGAAATAATCTAGCAGCTCTGGGTACACAGTTAAATTCAGATTTCCAAGAATGTTAAAATAAGATAATTGTGATTGATTTACAATTGTATGGTTATTTAAATTGCCATCCTTTGAAACCACTCTGTACTAAGAGGTAACACAGTCAACATTTTGGTGACCACTGATAGACTTTCCTCTGTGTGCACGCACACACAGCATAATATAATCAGGGTCACATGCATGCTTTTTTATCGTGGGATTTTTTATTTTTTTATTTTTTTAGTCCTTTGGACAACTTTCCTCTTCTTTTCTAATTATCTTCATCCCTTATAAATTTAATATGTATCCTTCGCAGTTATTTTTCAAACACATAACACACCCCCCCCACACACAATTTTTATTACATCAGCATATAAAACAGAATCAAGTATTTAGAACAGTACCTGAGCATTGCATATGCTCAAATATTTTTTGAAAAGATTTATTTATTTGTGCATACAGAACTGGGGGACAGGCCAGAGGTGCAGGGGCAGTGAGAGGTTTCACCAGAGACAGAGTGGGGAACAGAACAGGCAGATTGTTGAAATACACTGCTGAGGGGAGCAACAGGTGGGTCAGGAGAGGTCTGCCGAGCCATGTGGGTCACCTCCCAGGAGAGGATCGAACTCATGCTGAAGTGGCTTTTGCTTCTTAGTGCTCTGCTTTAACCCCTGCACCACCAGGGAGGGCCCTGCTCAAATATTTTTAAATGAACATATGAATGATTTTAAATAGTTTGCTTTATAAAAATCACACACATAATTATCCTATTTTTTTAAATCTGGCTTCTATAAATGTTTCTATCACTCATCTTATAGACTTAATTAATTCTTATGAATATTTGCATAATATCCCATATTTGAAAATAACATCAATTTATTTAAACATACTCTCAATCGATAGTTGAAATGCTTTTACTGTTTTGCCACCATTAAAAAATCACAGTTGACACCTGTTGAATGTTTACCATATGTGAAGCAATTTTTTCACACACATCTAAAGGTAAATTAAGGATATTGTCTCTATTGTAAGAAACTGAGCACTTGTTAAGAAATTTACAAAGGGTTATACAGTCAGTAGGTGGTGAGTAAGTCAGTCATGTACCTCAGAAGTACTGTCATTGAACTACTTCTATGCAAGGCAGTAGCCAACACAATTGTACACTTGTTCTAATGGAATGCTGCTGCTTTTCCTAGCTGACAGGAATTACTGTAGAAAAATATGATAGATATATTTATATCAATAGATTGCTTTGCAAAAAAAAAAAAAGCACAAGTGGAGTACATAAGTGCTCTTTTCTCCAGCTAGTTATCAAAATTTTTAAATTATTTTATTCCTTTTCTGTCAACCCCATGAGTGAGAAGTGGCATTTCACATAAACACACACACACACACCTTTCTTAGGTTGAGTATCATATATATATTTTTTAAGATTTATTTATTTGTGCATACAGAACTGGGTACAGGCCAGAGGGTAGTGAGAGGTTTCAGCAGAGACAGAGTGGGGAGCAAAACAGGCCAACTGAGGAAGTACACTGCTGTGGGGAGCAGTAGGCAGGTCAGGAGAAGTTTGCTGCACCATGTGGATCACCTTGGGGGCAGGGATCAAACACATGCTGAAGTGGCTTTAGCTTCTTACTGCTGTGCTTTAACCTGCTGCACCATCAGAGAGGGCCCAAGCATCATATATTTATCATCAATTTGGGTTTGCACTACTATGTTTACAGCACTAGGACTCTCCAGAAACAGAACAAATACATGTATGTATGCATACATGCATGTTTTTATTATATCCAGCACATGCAATAGGAACTATTTAGACAGTGGTAGAGTTTGAATGTATAGATAGGTGTGTATATATGTGTGTACACGTATGAATGTATATATATATATATATATATATTTTTTTTTTTCTTCCCCCATGTAATTATTGGAAGCTAGCAAGTCCAAAATCTGCAGGGTAGACCACCAGGCTGGAGTGTGGGAGAAGCATTGAATGCTGCAAGTCCCAAAATTGTGAGATTGAATATCCAGCCCTCCTTCCAAGACAATTTACAATGGAAACATTTAGTATAATAGACTTTCTGGAGTTGCTAATGTTTAAACTGATTGCATCTGTTATCTAGCTTGCCACTTATTAGTGACTAAATTCTTTAAACATAAAAATTGTTTCACAGAACTCTGGGAACATAAAGAAATCATTTCTCACTTTATAGCTTTCCCCTGTCGTTCTATTATACCGATGTCTTTTTTTTTTTTTTTTTTAGCAAGCAGTAAGACTAAAGGGTGAAATGACTACGTGTCAGTTATAAAGTACGCTGGTTGAAAGCAAAAATCTTAACATAATTATGTGTCTT